TGATATAAATTTTTTACTATCAGTCCACGAATATGTATTTCTGGATTAAGATTTGGTCCTTATAATGACACACATATATATATATATATATATATATATATATATATATATATATATTTGAATAGTCTTGAATTTGATGTTGATATATATGTTTAATTTGAGTTTTAATATTCGGGCGTAGCATTAATAAAAATAGTATGAGAGTTTTTTTAAAAGTTTATTTATTTAAAATCCATACGTTTCGGCTAGCATCTTAGCCATCATTCAGTGGTAATCAAATTAACTATAAAAATTGAAACTAAATAAATTATATGTAAGAAAATTTCATGGAAAAACAATAATAATAATAATAATAATAAAACACTTACAATTTTGTATCCTAATATAGCATATGAAACCATTATTAATTGTATTAATATTAATTATAGTTTAATAATGGATTCATATGCTATATTAGGATACAAAATTGTAAGTGTTTTATTATTATTATTAATATTATTGTTTTTCCATAAAATTTTCTTACATATAATTTATTTAGTTTCAATTTTCATAGTTAATTTGATTACCACTGAATGATGGCTAAGATGCTAGCCGAAACGTATGGATTTTAAATAAATAAATTTAAAAAAAACTCTCATACTATTTTTATTGATGTTACGCCCAATATTGAACTCAAATTATATATATATATATATATATATATATATATATATATATATATATATATATATATGATACAGTTTTGCAGCCACAAGTCGAAAAACTGTTTTTTTTTTTTTTGTTTTTAGAACAAAATATTCATTTTTGTCAAATTTTACACAAAATACTTTTTTGAATGTTTAATAACTTACAACTTTAATAACTTTAATAACTCGAAACGTACTAAAAAGATTTATATTTACGTTCTTGTTTTATTTTTCGACTTGTGGCTGCAAAACTGTATCATATAATGTTTCAAATCGAAACGAACAATATCAAGATATTATATATATATAATATATATATATATATATATATATCTAGTTCTTTAAACAAAGTATGTCTCATCCATTACGCGACTGTAGCAAATATATAGAATATTATTATATGGCTATTCTGAATGTTATTTAATTTATACTTAATTTAATAATATTATATAAAAATGTGGGCTACGAGTTAAAAATACTTGAATCGATATACAATATAGATTGATTGAAAACTTTTAACACTAAATCTTCAAGGAGAAGTTTGTTTTTGCCAGAAAATCTGGTTAATAAATTATTTCTCAGTTTAGTGTTAAAATCCACATTTCCACTTACACCTACATAAATCAATTACCACACACACACAATTTCCGATTCGCTCATATAATATCATGAAGTACATATTGCATTTTTTGTTTATAAATATAGAAATATATAACTATTCCACCATTCACATACGTAAAACTTAATAGTTTAAGTTAAAAGTTTAAATAAAATCTTATTTAGTAATCACCATTCGTTAAAAACAATTTTTTGCAACACAAACATTGTCTTGGGTTTAAATTGTTTAATAATAATTTAATATAGGGATAAAATATTAATATTAGCACTCGTTCACATATCACATGCCGGACTCGGCTATGCCTTCATCATCTGAAAAAAATAATAATATTAATAGAGGAAATATTTAATTCAAAATGCAAATTGGACATGCTCGTAAGAAATAATATTTTTACAAATTTGAAAATTTTTACTTGTTTGGTTCACATAAGCATAATTACATACGGATTAAATTAAAAACCGAATAACATATAAAAGTAAGAATTGAAATTATTATTAATCAATTTTTGTTGATTAAGTCCATTATTTCCGGAAGTTCATACAACTTGCCTTAAGGCAAAATGGCACTTACAACTACATACTCATTTTATACTGCCATAGCCTCTATTCTCTAAAATTTGATAATATATTTTATTTTTCTCAAAAATTTAAATAGCCAATTTTCAATGATATATACGTATGACGAATATACTCGTCAATACAAAAATTTCTGCTGCTTCTGCATGACGAGTATACTTGTCAATCACATTTTACTTCATGTTAATTGAATATTACTTATTTTCGACAAATAGTTTAAATTTTATGAGTGCGCTTCCCATGTCGTCCGAACCTAACACAACGCTTTCTCATACATTTTTACTTAGGCTTGGATACGCATGGTGAGCGTTACTTCAAAATTTTTAGTACAAATGAATTTAATCAGTTTGAATGTTGTTTAAGTGACAAAACTAGATATAAGTGGTATTTTGCCTTAAGGCAAGTTGTCTGAACTTTCCGATATGTGTGAATAATCGACTTAATTTGTAGATAATATTTTGCGTAATCACTAAGGTGAAGATTTTTTAAGTTTTGTCAATATAAAAATAAGTTTATGCATTTATAATATTTTTTTTAAATGTATCAGTAGTTCTTGAAGAATATAGATATTCCAAATCCTCGAAACTTTGAATAAAATATTTGAAAAAAATTAAATAAACAAAAAAAATTAAGAAAAAAGAGAATTTTAGAGCAAAAATTTAGCTAACGAGACAACTTTAATAATATATTTAAGAATGTGAACTAAAGTGGAGTGTGGCAAGGATGCTCCAATTATGATATTAAAGATGTATAAATTTTCGTGATAAAATAGAACTCTACTGACAAAGGAATTGATTCTAGATTTGGATAATTAAAACATATATAGACATGTACTACGAATAAAGCCAATATTAATCTCAAGATATTTTTGAGAAGAATAAAAAGAACTCACCACGATAAATTTTTAAGCAAAGACAGCAAATAGATATTGCAGCGATTTAAAAAGCAAAACAAGACAATTCGTCCTTTTAATATAACACAATATATAAAGCATGCAAATTATTAACTTAAGTCTACAAATACATGCAATGACATTGTTAATTACCATGATTGTTAAAAATGTTTGAGTAAAAACATGCAATTTATATAAGAAATAGAAACGTTGTGGTTTATATGTATCACGAACCGTAGAAGGTATCCCAGAACTCAACGTCAAGCCGAATCAGGGATTGCAACTATCACAAAAATTTAATAACAAAAATTATACATATAGTTTGAAAAGATATGAGCTTTTAAGTACAACCTAGAGCTTTGTCAAACTATAATCATTTTTTCAGTAAAAATAACAAGAAGAACTCTACTGTCTAGCAAAGTTGTCGAAATGGACTTTACTGACAAGCAAACTTAACAAAAAACAACTCTACTGACAAATAAATTAACAAAAAAAAATTTACAGACAGACAAACCGTTGAGAACATTTAATGAAAATGAACTCTACTGACGAGCAAAACTAACAAAAAAGAACTCTGCTTACTTAATAAAATTAAAATTCGGCAAATATTTAAAACTCTGAATAGAAACTTTACAGACGATCAAATTTGATAATTAAAAAAAACTCTACTGATGAGACTTGATAAGAAAAAACTCTACTGACGAGCAAACTCAATAAAAAAGAACTCTACTGACGAGCAAATTAACAAAAATAATTTTTACAGACAATCGAACTTGATAATGCAAAAAAAATTAACTTTACTTACTTTAGTACATTTGATAAAAAAGAACTCTACTGACGAGCAAAATTTGACGACAAAAAACTTTACCAATAATGAATCTTGATGATGAAATAAAACTCTACTGTTTACCAAACTTGATGAAAAATAACTCAACTGACAAGCAAGGTTAACAAAAAAACTGCCGATAATGAGAACGGTCGATAAAAACGAACTCTACTGAAGAACAAATTTGACGAAAATAAACTTCAGGCAATTAAACTTGATGACAACAAACTCTACTCAAACTTGATGAAAAAGAACTCTACTGACAAGCAAATTTGATAAAAAGAACTCTGCTGATGATGAAAACGCTCTATAAAAATCTCTACTGAAGAGTAAATCTGACAAAAAACTCTACTGACAAACAAAACTTGACAAAACAACTCTATTGATGACGTCGTCGATTGATGAAAGTCGTGATAAGAAAAACTCTATCAAAGAGCAAATTTGGCAAAAAGAACAGGATCAGACTTTATGATAAAAAAAAACTCTACTGATTAGCAAAGTTTACAAAAAAACTGCTGATAATAAGAACGCTCGATAAAAAAGAACTCTACTGACAAGGAAAGTTGGCATAAAGAAACCTTGATGGTGAAAAAAAACTCTACTTGATAAGAAAGAACTCATCATCAGATAAAAATTCACTTCTTTTTGATGTATTAAATTTGCTCGTCAGTAAAGTCCTTTATTTATTCTTTAGTTTAAATTCAGTTTTTTTTCCCTTTTCGTCTTCTAGTTCAATATTCAATTTGCTCGTCAGTACAATCATTTTGTTTGTCAGTAGTCCATTTTTGTATTTTCCTAGTCAATTTTTAATTTGCTCGACTTAAAAATATCCAAAAAATGGTGACAGTTTGACCAAAGTTTTAGGTAGTACTTAAAAGCTCATAACATTCAAACAATATAAGATATATTTTATCATAGTTACAATCAATACTGTCAACCTAGTTCCGATTTGACGTTGAGTTCTGGGACACCCTGCACAATTTAAAGCTGTAATTTTTACCATTCGTGATACATATATCCCTATCATGCTTAGTGAGCAAGCTTAGTAGTTGTCAATCTTGTTATTCACCGTCACCAAAATCAGGAACCAAAATTTTCTCTAAGACGAGATCAGTGTGACGTCATCTCCTCCATTGACGTCACCATTATGCGACGACGACGTCACGTCCCCGCTGTCCTCATCGTTAGCAGTGACGTCATCCAACAAACCGTCGACGTCACTGGCATAATCCGTTGTGGGAAATATACTGTGATAAGTTGCAAAAGTTCCACTGAACCTGGTTGTGCGATCGTCTAAGACGATTTTGGAGCGTCGTTTCATCACTTCGGTGTCTGAACGCGACATGATACCTTCGGGGTAATGGTTCATGCGGATGGTGTCAGCGGGGTTGTCGTTGTAAACGAACATGATGTTTTCGTCTTTTTTGATGGTGTCGTTGAAACGGCCGTCGAAGTAGTCGAGTTCGCCGTCGTTGGATATGTTGAAGCTTCTTTGGTCGCCGTCGTTGTCGCCGAATAAAGTGAGGTCATCACCGTCATCATGCACCTCATCATCCTGACCCACAACTTCATCATCATCCCCTGGTCCATTACAAGCGACACTATCATTATCTCCACTATCATTATCTCCATTATCACCACTATCAATATCATTATCTCCATTATCATTTTCCCCAGGTGAGTTTCCGACTTCGTCAGATTCGCCTTCGCCGTGGCCGCTGTCGTCGCAAGTGACGGCGTCGTCGAGGTCGCCGCCGCCGTTGAGCAATCGTCATCTCTCCTTTTCGGCTTCGCCGGTCAGAGGAGCGTCCAGGAGAGCGTTCGGATTGGTTTTGTCTAAATCGTTGCGCATTAGGAGGAAAATTATTTGTGATTTTTAGGCACGGAAGATATTAATAATACGAGAGGTGGATTTGTGGGATTGACTGCTATAGTGATAATGATAATTATAATGAATTAGTTTGGGTTAACGCACTATAAGCGGGGCGGGTAAAAATACTCGTCTTGAGGACTAGTGCGTCAATATTAACTTTAAAATCGATTTATATTTGATATTAAAAGATTTATTTGGTAGTTTTTGTTTAAATTCAATTGGTACTCATGATGATAATTGGGGGGCGTCCAATAATCACGTGATCGACTTTTTAAGAATTTCTATACCCCCCCTCCCCCTTGTAGAAATTCAAAATTAGCCCCTCATCCCCCGCCAAATCTCACGTGTAGCGATAAAAGATACAAACTGAAATTTTTGAAGTAAAATTTCTTTAGACTCGTTTGACACAAATTTTTTAAAACTTATTTTTTTTTTAAATCACATAGTTAATTTTTATAGTGATTTCGTAGTGATTTTTTTTTATTACAAGAAAAAATGGTAAGATTTTTGATTCTTTTTTGAAAATGTTTGGTTTTTTAAAAAAAATTCAGGTAATAAATAAATACATGTGATATCTTACTGTAACCCTCCTTCCCCGACGTGATATTTCGTGATTTTCTGTCAACCCCCCCCCCCTCCTCACGTGATTAAAGGTCAACCGCTTATCAATATGTAAATTTTGGACATTTTTTACAGTTCTTAAAAAGTCTTGAAATTTTCATTTCCAACATTTTAATTTATTCATTTGAGGAACACTAGATAAAATTTACTAAAATCTAGTAAAACAAAATTTTCAATGAGTCTAAAGAAGTTTTACTTCAAAAAATTTAGGTCGTCTTTTATGGCTTGTTGGGTATCGTTTGAAAGTTCTCGATGAGCAGAAAACGATTTTCATACAAAAACTATTTATCTTGTAATAAAATAATTACTAAAATATAATCATATTATTATTAACAAAAATATTTGTTTTTGAATTTTAAAGGTGTAAAACGTCTGTAGCAAACCCTTGAATTAACTATGTGATTTGTCAAAAAAATTACACTTTCAATGAATTTTTGGTAAACGAATCTAAAGAAGTTTTACTTCAAAAAAAGTAGATCCTAACTTTATGGGTTGTGGGATATCGTTTGAAAGGTCTCGATGAGTAGATCACGGTTTTTATAAAAAATGAGTTAATCGTAAAAAAGCGCTATATGTACATTATTATTACAAAAATATTGGTTTGAACAGTTTTAAAACTGTTATATACTCTTGGATATTAAAATTATACTATATGAATTTAAAATATTTTTTTACATTTCTTCAAATAACTTTAAATTTTCTTAGCGGACATTATAATTTGTTCACATTAGTAAAAACTAGATAAAATTTACTATAATTTAGTAAAAACTATTTTATTCACTTGTATATTAAAATTTTGAATAACTTGTAGTTGAAATGAGGACTTCAGTGATTCCATAATTTGCTTTATATGAATTTAGTACATTTTTTTACATTTCTTTAAATAACTTTTAATTTTCTTTCCGGACATTATTATTAATTTACGTTTTTAGAAACTAGATAAAATTTACTAAAATCTTGTAAAAACTGTTATATATACTTGGATATTAAAATTTGCAAAAATTCGAAATTGAAATGCAGACAAGAATGCGTTCATAGTGCGTTAACAATTACCATCGAAGCAGTCAATCCTCACACCAAAATTAGTAACCACTAATACACGAGGAAAGTAAGAAACATTAAATATTTAGATTACGATAAAATGATTTATAACAAAATGTTAGATTAATACTCATTGTTAAAATGTCGAAAAGAATGTAAAGCGAGTGGTGTATATAAAACATAATCAAAGTGCTCTTAAGCGTTTCTATGTACCATTAGGGGAAACCAATTTAAACCAACACCTTGATAAAGGATTTATTCGACAAGTTTTGATTTTTTGAATGAGATTTGTAATTAATGATCTTACCTTCAAATCCTTGGTTTTCGTGTATCTCTCTTGGAGGTCCTGTGTTGTCTCGGCCTTCGAGGACAGCCAAAAGACATTGGTGGATGCAGATGTATTGTTGTTCCGTTTGGACCATCCATACACGTTCTTTGCGCATTTGCCACACAATTCCTGATAAAAGAAATATTAGTAAATATATATATATATATATATATATATATATATATATATATATATATATATGATAGATAGGTTGGTCTGCAATAATTGCAATTGTTGTTACACTGGTAAAAGTTCCCAATATATATACAAGAGGATCAATCAACATATATATATAATTCTAGAAACCCAAATCAATTCAAAACTATGCTTTCAGAACATATGATTAACTTGGACCACACTTTTAACATGTCAAATCCTTCCATCCTTTACATTGAAAAAAAATGTGAAAAGAAAGATAGTTGAGTCTTTACTTATATCCCTTAATACTTCTTATGCCAACAAACGTAATTCCTCTCATCTTTTACATGACAGTTACAAAGTCATCATTAATTTCATGAAAAGTAATTCTATACAGTTTTAGAATCTTTCGTTCGTTATATTACTTCTCTTTTTCTCTTTCCCCTTTCGTTTCCACACCCCGCTCCCATAAAATATAGGAGGACAATATGTGCTCCTTTAATTTCGCGTTGTTTATATAATAGTATATTATTATTTTACACAAATTTAGTGTTCAATCAATTTTACATCATAATTAATTTTTACTGTTGTTTTTCCTGGTTTGGTGTGTATAATTTTCTCCTTTTTATATATTTATATTTATTTTTACAAATTTTAGAAACTTTAGGAGATTGTGTCATAAGTTTTGACTGTGGTACTAAAAATGTTATTTACGGCAATTTACGGTTACGGTGTTAAAGTTTATATTAATAAAAATAATAAAAATTAACCATAATAACGAAAAAATAGTCACAATTTCAGCGAAGCTCTAGACTGCACTTAAAAGTGCATAAGACTGCATGGACTAAAAATGTTTGCCAATTTTTTCATGATAATTACAGCTACAACTTGACGTTGAGTTCTGGGACACCATGTACACACGTCTTATTTAAGTTTTCCGAACAGATTATTAATTATAATTCCTAAGCCTCTATTTAAAAAACAGCAAGAAAATATCCTATATCCCAAAAAACATTTCATAAATTAATCAAAAAAATGTTTGATATGAAATAAAATAATTTGAAGAGATAAATGAAACTATTAAATTAATAAATTTAATTAAATTTTTACAATACTGATTAACTCCGCGAATTTTTTATATAAACTTGTCTTTGATATAAACACTTTAGTATATATTTTTTTAAAGAAAGTTCTTTCAAAAAAGCCTAATAGTAGGCTTGTCGTTCAATAGTTTAAAAGTCATTTTATGTATGTTTGTGTGGTGTGTGTGTTGATTGAACAAAATATTCCTTGAACAGGCTTCCATACAGATAATAATAATAGAAAGAATTTGTAAGTTTTTGAATTTATAAAATCGGTTCAAAATTGTAGGCTAGAATCTGTTTTTTAGATTACTGAATGATGACACACATCAAGTGTCGAAACGTTTAATGGAATAAATAATTTTGTTATTTAATTTTTTTTTAATTCGACGATTAGGCTGCAAAAATATTACAAATATATATATATATATATATATATATATATATACATATATATGTAATATTTTTGCCAAATATTTCCCAAGTCAGGAGTGACTGTATTTCAATTCTCCCTTACCAAATATATCCACATAATCGTTGACTCTGATCTGCTGCAATATCCTGTCGAGTGCAATAAATGTACCAGATCTACCAACACCAGCACTACAATGTACAACCACAGGCCTCTGTTCAGGACCAACTCTTTCCCGGAAGGCTCTTGCAAATCTTACTAAAGTTTGTGGAGGAGATGGGACACCAAAATCAGGCCACGTTGTGAAATGGAAATGTTTCATTACACGCTGGGTTTCTCCCTGAAGGAAAAGAATAGTGAAAATATATTGATAAAGTAATAAACTAGCTTTATTATTTATGTGTTTTTCTGCATGTTTACCTGTCCACCTGTCTACCAATATTTTTATTTGTATATAAATTAATAATAATGAGATTGTAATAATTATTTTTGTTCACCATGTCCCAATTTTTTAAACTTTTTTTCTATTATAGAAATCCATGCTCCCGACAAATATATATATATAGATAATAATAAATTGCAATGATTATTTTTAGTAACTTTTTTTTATTATAGAAATCCATGCTCCCGAAATCGTCGATGAAATATTGTATCCACGCATACAGAAATTATAATAAATTATGATTGTTTGCTAACTTTTTTCATCAAAGAAATCCATGCTCCCAAAATCGTCGACGATTGTATCCACATTCATATAAATTATAATAAATTGTAATGATTATTTTTGATTTTTTTTTTAATATAGAAATCCATGCTCTCGAAATCGTCGACGAAATATTGTATTCACATGTACATAAATTATAATAAATTGTAATGATTATTTTTGATAACATTTTCTTATCATAGAAATCCATGCTCTCCAAATCGTCGACGAAATATTGTATCCACATGTGCATAATAAATTGTAATGATTATTTTTGATATCTATTTTTTTATTATAGAAATCCATGCTCTCAAACTCGTCGACAAAATATTGCATCCACACATATATAGATAATAAAAATTTGTAATGATTATTTTCGACCACCATGTGACACTTTTTTTAAACTTGTTTTCTATTATATAAATCCATGCTCCCGAAATCGTCGATAAAATATTGTCACACTTGGATGCACATACACACACATACGCTTTTTTTCTAACATATGTCAGGATTTATTAACTTTCCTTAGGCAATGGTAATCTTCCAAAAATAAAAATTACAATTTTTCAAAAATCAATTATTTTAGATAGTATGAATCAGCCAACAATAAATGGGTACCAAAAATTATCAAGATAATTCAAAATTTACAGATTTCAAAAAAAGCAAAAAATTTATGTTTTCAAAAAATTTCATATAAAATCCAAGTTTTCAAAAAATATCAAAATATTCAAAAATTTTCAAATTTGTTAATAAATTTCATAATTTTCAAAAAACGAGTTTTCTCCTTTTTTTTCAATATTCCAATTTTTCAAATGTTTTCAAAATATTCAAAAAAAAATCTCAATAAAATCTAATTTTTCTTTTCTGATATTAAAATACTACACAAGAGTTCGAGCAATTTGCCTTAAGACACGATGCCATACACCACTAGTTTTTTTTTTTTAACTTTTCGTAGGGTAAGTTATAGTAATGGCAAAAAAAATCGAAAATGAAAATTTTTATATATTTTTATGTTTCAAAGGTTTCTGAACATTTTGGCACACTTTAGAAAAAAACGGATGTATGTTGCGGATACAAACTTTCGTCGACGATTTTGGGAACATCTGTGTGCCCAAACCCAAACAAACAACCGATTTGAATACTTCAAAAACTTTCGATTGCTACTGATAAGGAGGCGTGCTGTTTAGTTTTTGGCAAAGGCAGGTCTAGCCGTTTCGGAGATACGGGGCAAAAAGTTTCCAAAATATTTCAAAATAAAGAAAACATTTTTTTTCAAAAAGTCTTTTTTTTCCAAAAAGTAAATTTTTTCAAAAATTTACAATTTCTAAAAAATCTAATTTTTTTAAAGGTTAAAATAATTTTTTAAAAAATTAGTTTTTGGTACAAAAAGTTTCAGCAATTTGCCTTAAAGCACGATCACATTCATCACTAGTTTTCAATTTTTATAACACTATTACTCACCCTTGTCATCATGAATTCAGTGACACTCCAGTCCAAATAGTGACTATCATTTAAAATAGTAACACAGATATCACCATAGTAAGCTGGTAAAGTGTCGTAGGGCCAATAGTGATCACACTTCTCTCGTCCCTTCTCCACACATCTCGTCAACATAACAATGGCCCTTGAGTTACTCTCCCAGCACATTCTCCAGAAATCGTCTCTTGTTGAATGCAAAGGCCCTTGGGTTACTATGAACTCTCTTGGAGAATTATGACCCTGGGGAAGAAGAAAATGATAAAAAATAATCCATCATTAGCATCATGTACTTATATACATAATAGTAATAATAAATTGTTCCCTCTAGTTTACTATTACACTTATATGCATTTTCCATTTCTATACATACCGGTACATAATTAGCATTGATATAATCAGATCCTTCCTCGTCATCAACCGGTTGCAGTTTGAATCGTGAGTGATCATAAGGCAAGATGTTAGTGAACCTGTTCTTCGGTCGGTTGCAAGGTAGATCAGCAAAAGTACAGGGCTGTTCACGACCTACATGTTTCAATTCCTCAAATTCTTCACTGAACCTGAAAATTGTAGAAATAGATTATTGAATCGATTTAAATCAAAGAATCTTAATCTTATATATAAAAATGAATCGCAAAATGTGTTGGTAAGCGTATAACTCAACAACGCCTAGACCAATTTGACCAATTCTTTTTTTAAAATGTTCGTTGAAGTCCAATGATGGTTCTTACGGCGAGACAAAATCGAATAATTGCCGGGAAAACCCTAGAAACAGCCCTTTTCTTTTTCTCATACAAACGTCTTTTAACTAAAAACGTAGAATCAATTTGAGCTTTATTGCTATTATATAAAGTTCATATTAAATTACAAGCACTCACTGTATACTACTTCTAAACGATTATGCGGATTTTGATAAATCTTTCTGAAGTTTGTTAAGGAAATTTTCTAGAATGTATGTGATTGTAAAGTACTGGGATGTATGTGCAATATTGTAGAAATAAATGGAAAAAAATCGCAAAAAACGACATGTCACTGTTTGCAAACAAATGAAAACTATTATCTGCCAAAAATTTCAATTTACTTATGAACCTAGACCATATTAGAATATGTATATTAAATTTATGATTATGAATAAGAAAAATGAAATGTCTACATTATTATTGCCGAAAAGCAGCTGAGACGTGCCAGAATTAAAATAATATAAAATACAGTATATGTATGGCAGATTGAATAATACAAATATGAACAGGATATGACAAATTAATTCACTCAAAATATGAAATTAAGGGGGTATTCTAGTGTAGAATTTCAAAGAAATCGATTTTTGTTTTATTTCATATTTTCAAAGTTTAACTATCTAAGAATATGGGTACGAAAAGGTTTTTGAAAATTTGAATCATTTTCGGGGATATAAGGCATTTTACTGACTCGGTCTCCTTACTGGTTTGGCTTCACGCAAAACTTTTAATGAGTTTTCAGTACTGTTGACACGATTTCTCGAGTTTTAATCGACCGATTCACTTGAAATGTTCAGAGAGTCTTGTTTATAGACCTGTCTATAGCCCGAACTAGGATTATCCCCAAATTCTAATTTTTACTATTTTTAAAAAAATTCGAGAAACTCAAAAAACAGTAAAAAAACACTTTTTTTTTCTAAGAGTCGCCAATTTGTAAAAAAAAATCTTTTTACTCATCGCTAGTTCGGGCGATTGCGACATCATTACAGATTAATAATCTTTTTATTTTTTGCATTTCCGATGGCTAGGAGGGCTGAAATTATATCAAGACTGAGGTGCCAATTTTTTGAGACAACCCACTTCATCAGCTGCCAGTTTTTATAATTTTCAATTTTTTTATTTGTTTTGTATTTTAATAGTATTAATAAACAAGTGGTAAAAAATGGATAGTAAAAACATTCATTGCTTTCTTTTACGACATTTTAAAAATGACCTAAAATTCATCGCTCTACACTAGAATACCCCCTTAAGTATTAATCAGGACCGGTCCTACTTTTAATGCGACGCATGCGAAAAATACGAGCGCACGCCTTAGGGGGCGCCAACACAAGATTCGGATATTAAATTTTTAATATAGTTTTTTTTCAATATATAATTTCTTTGCATCTTTAACTAATCTTTCCACAATATTTTTAAAATTCGTAAAATTTTCACTTTAAAACAACAAATGTGAAAGAGAAGATGAATAAATACAATACCACCCTCACGATATCAATTAGGAGAAATTTAAGATGCAATTTTGGATTACTTAAATAATAAAAAATTAATTTAATTTAATCCAACATAAAGTACCAGTGTTATGTCATGGTTATGGTTATGTTACACCGTTTAAAAGACTTCAATTTCCAATATAGTGTGGGAATTGAGACTCATGAGCAGTTCTACATTTAACATCGCTCATGTTATAAATGTATATGCATTTTGGCGCGAAGAGTAATTTAAAAAACAATAATTATTATTTTTAGATAAACGGTGAATATTAGTATATTTCATTATATTAAAATTGTAGACATGGGTACAGAACAACGTCTGTCGGGTCATCTAGTACCAAATAAAGGAATATTAAAGTATGAAATAAAGGATAATTCTCCTTCCTACCTGAAATCGCTGTCGGCCGACATGATCCTGTAGTGTTCTGCAAAGTTTTCAATCCTTACAGGTCTTGTCGTGTCTGCGACGCTGTCGGGCAGAGACATGGCGTCGCTGTGTCTGGCCTCAGTCGCCTTTCTATTCGCATTCCTGCGCCTTCGAAGCACTATCACCGTCACCAGAAGCAGCAGGATGCATATCAGGGGAACAGTCACGCCCACTATTATTGGGGTGTTGTCTTGATCTGGAGGAAAAAAGATCTTATATATCTTATATATAAAATTCTTCTGTACGGGTGTATGATTTGATACTTCTCCTAAACGGTTATTCGGATTTTGGTAATTCTTTTTAAAGTTTGTCAAAGGAAGTTTTTAAGATTTAATAAACGATAAAACTTTTAGTAAATAAATGGCAAAAATTATAAAAATCCATTTATCATTGTTTGACATTGAAAACATTTGAGCTGAACTAAAAATATCAATACACTTAAAGTTTGAATTTAGGTGAAATTATGAGCCTAGATAATATTAGCATATAATATACAAGAAAAAGTAATGTCTACATTATTATTGCCGAAAAGCAGCTGAGATATGCTAAAATATATATATATATATATATATATATATATATATATATATTGAAATATGTGAGTTTGATGTTGATATATATTTTGATAAGTTATTTAGAATCGGGCAGTAACACCAGTAAAGAAAAAACTAAAGTAGTTTTGAAATACTTTATTTATCCATACGTTTCGGTCTTCATCGAGACCGTCATTCAGTGGAAAAAAGAATTTCAGTTTTTAGACGTTAGTCAATCTGTACACACTAGAATGTAACCAAAAATTGTCAAAAATAATTAATTTAAATGTTCCAGTTATTAACACTATTCCTACCGGGACCGGTCAAATGACCGTTTTTGATTTTTCGATTAGTATTTTTCATATCAAACGTAATTGAATCGTCATCAAACTTTATGACTTTTCCTAATATGTGAGTATAAAACATTTTTCAATGTTAATTTGTTTTTTCAATTTTTATTTTTGGAAAAAAAATTGTATGCTGTCTTACCTACCGCGACCGGTCATTTGACCGGTAGTACGAAAGACGATGTTCGGATGGGATTTTTTGTAGTAATTGTTAAGAATATTTTGGAACTTACAAGAAAATGTAAATTCAGAAGAATTTAGACTGGTAAAAACTGCCTTCTGCAAATTTATATGCATTTTTTTCGATTCTGTATGCGCGGTGCGCAAATAAGGCAAGTAGTATAAATATTGCATTTCTACGGTATAAAAAGTGGGATTTCTCAATTTTCTCAATGTCTATGTATAGACAGATTTTTACGAAGGAATCTAAACAATAAATCGATAGGTTTTGTTTTGAATCCAAAGGTTGGTTCAACTACATTGACAGCAATCAAAATTGTTGTAAAAGACTACGTATTACTATCGACAAACATATATTTTCAATAAAGGTAAGGTGTAAATTCATTCAACATATGTTCAATAGTATTTAGGAAAACGTATAAATATTAGTAACTGTTCAATATACGATGTAAATATAATTATGCCCTGCAAATCGCACAAATGGGGTGTAAAATTTTGGTAACCATCCAGTATACGTAGCAAACTGAGATATTCTTTGAAGATTTATAACTGATGAAACCGTATTATCAAAATCGCTAGTACGACATAAAAAATATATAACGTTTTTACCATCCTACATATAGCTAAACTTTTAGTAAAAGAAAACTGATGGTAGGTACAATTGAAGCAATATAACAGCTATAAATACTGGCAGAACGAAAAATCAAAGATTTCAATACTCAAATAATATTTACAATTTTGGAAGATAAGAAAGAAGATTCTAATTTTCACTTACATACACATATGTTGAAAAAATTACACTAATACGGGAGTTAATTCTATTGGTATTAGCGTCGGGACTGGTGTAGATGCCATTCATAAAATAGTCAGAAATTATTTGGTAAAATATGAATTTTAGAGAGAATTCATCAAGAATTTACATTATTTTGGATGTATTCAGGATAAATCCATTGTTGTTACATAAAGAAATTACGAGAAGACAATGTACAAGGCAGGAACTTTCTATTCCAATTAACTTGTCGTATAGTTCCAACAAGAATTCAGAAAAAAATCAGCTAAGTACAAGTACAAAACAGATTCCCTAAAAGAAACTATTCCAGATAATGCTTTAGAAAAATGATAGAGAAAACAAAATCAGCCAAAAACGTAAAAAATGCGTGTGCAGAAAATACACTCTAAGAAAAAAAATCGTGAAAAATTGGATAAAACAGTATAAAATGTAGAATTCGCATTATAAAATAAAAGAAATATATTGTATTTGTATTTATAAACTCTTAAACTAGCATTAACTCTTCATTCAATACTGAAAAATACCGATTTTGCATGACCGGTCATTTGACCGGTCGCGGTAGGAATAGCAAACATGAAATGTCGGTAGGAATAGTGTTAATAGCTTGGTTTATCACAGTGTAATAGTGTAGTGTATTTTTGTATAATTAATTTCTGTAAGTACTTATATATAAGTTCTATAACTTTATATTATTTTCCTCCTGCATCATATAAAATCTTTTAGTTTTTCCACTGAATGACGGTCTCGATGAAGACCGAAACGTATGGATAAATAAAGTATTTCAAAACTATTTTAGTTTTTTTTTACTTGGTGTTACTGCCCAAGATTCTAAATAACTCATCTAAATATATATATATATATATATATATATATATTAGGGTGGTCCTTAATATGGACATTTTCGAATTTCCTTGCTCCCAAGAGCTAAAATAGTTTCAAATTGATAAAAAACAATTCTCTGAAAGTTTTAGCTCTTAATATTGTCTTTTAGATAGAGCGCAATTCAATCAAAGTTTTGTATGGAAATAGCATGAAAAAATTTTCAAACATTTTGCAGAGCGTCGAATTTTCAATAAAAAATGACACAAATTTTCACTTTGAATTCATTTGTCGCTAAGTTATACCTAAATAAATTTTTTTTTGAATTTTCAAAATTTTTTCCATGCTATTTCCGAAATAAATTTAATTGAATTGCGCACTATCTAAAACGTTAATATTAAGAGCTAAAACTTTCAGAGAATTGTTTTTTATCAATTTGGAACCATTTGAGCCCCTGGGAGCAAAGAAATTCGAAAATGACCATTTTAAGGACCACCCTAGTATATATATATATATATATATATATATATATACAAATTACTATATTTTTCCTACCCATGCTAACAATTTTCACCACACATATTTTTTTTACTACATTACAAAGCAGTTTGCATTTTATACATTTCCTAACAACTAAATAATTTTACATCGATCTTCTCGAAAAACGCGAACACCTATTTTATATTTAGTAAAAGATAAGATTACACTATAAAACATATGATTTTATTCTCAAGATAAGATAAGCGAAGAAAAAAAAAATTTAGTATTAGATTTCAAACAGAAACTATCTATCTGTATCAATATATAATGTACAAAATAGTGTACGAACCGTTTATTAACGCTTATCAAAAGTTTCAATTAGATTAAATAATTTTATAAAATAAATGTTATTAATATTGTGAAAAAATGTGACTTTTGATAACAAAACTGTTAGGGCCTTGATTAAGAAATGGTGAAAATAATAATAAGAGTTGGTTTTGATTAATTAATCATATAAGTACTTTGATTAATCAATCATACAGGTAACTAATTCTGTTTTTTCTTAATATCCTTTTTTCTTAAAAAACTTGCTAATCCACTCACTTATTTTTATTATTTTCATTTGGATTATATTGCCATATTTTTGTAATATGTATTATCTCTTTCACAATCTTATTCATTGTTTCAAAAAACCACAATTGTCTGTTTTTCTTAAATATATTGTTTGCTTAAATCTTATCAAGATCATGTTTCTTGACAGATGTCCTGAAGATGGAACGTACCTAGTTTCGAAACGTCGATAGTAAATAAATAAAGTGTTTTTTAAAAACCTTTTGTTTTTTAGTACTTATTGGATTTTTTGTTCGAAGGTCTACAGAATATATAATTAAAAATTAATTTTCACTTCTTTGTTCGTACGTTTCGACACTTGATGCATGTCATTCAGTAAATTTAAAGTATAAAAATTTGTTTTAAACAATAAATATAATTTTAAATAAATATGTTAAAATTTATATACAAAAACAAAATTTATATTTAAAGTAAATAAAATATATATACCAACAAACCAAGAAAAAGCAAAAAATTAGATTTGAAAAAAGAAAAATTCAAAAAATAATATATTTGATTAATAATTTATAATTTAAAGAATTATCAACAAATCTAAAGTCACAATTTCTTCCCATAAGTAAAAAAATTGTTTGATTAAAAAAAAATCTATATATTTTAAATTATTTATTCTAACACTTTTTAAAAAATCCTGTTCTTTGTTTAAACAAATTTTTGTAATTTAGATTTACTGTATAATGACACATATCAAGTGTCGAAACGTAAACAAAAAAAGTGAAAATTATTTCAGCATTTTCATTTTATTTTTGAAATAACTTAGTAGTGAAGCTAAATTTGATCTTACACACACATCCTTCTAAAAAAATTCAGAATGACATACAATTAGCACGTCAGATTAAACTAGTCGACTGAAATCTTCGAGTAGTTAAAAAAACTAATGTTACTACTACAACAACAAACTTTAACCACTCACCGACTGAAGGCAATCCTATTCATTTATTGAAAGCCATGTAAAAATCGAATAAAGATTTGTGTACTATATAAAAATGTTTGAAAATTTAGCACAAGTATAAATTTTATTTCCCACGTACCTGTTTGAATTCTGAAACTGTAATGAGTATCCGTAAACTTATCTCGGGCTGTAAAAGCTCTCACTTTAACACTATAAGTAGCCCCTGCTTTAAGCGGGCCATTGCAATAACCCGAACTCTTCTTTTTAGACTCACAGTCTTCTGTACCGATTGTAAAATCTTCCACTGATGCATTCTTAAAGGGGTAATAAGGATCAACCTAAAGAGGTAAAAGATACACATTATAATAATTTCTAATTTATAATTTGATTTTAATTTTTTATTATACTTACTGCTTGATATGGTAGCCACACTCTCAATCCTTGCACGTCTCTCCAGCTCAACATTTCTAAGCCTGATGAGTTCTTTGTATCGTCTTCTGCTACTATGATGGTATAGGATGTTATAGCACCATTCTTTTCTGAGAAGTAGTTTTTCCTAAACCTGATTCGAATGGTTGTCGAACTCTTACACACCTCTGTAGGAACCTAAATAGAAATATATATATATATATATAATAAACATAAATATATATATATATATATATATATATATATAATATATATATGTGTGTGTGTGTGTCGCTTAAAGTCTTACCACTTGAGAATTGGGTTGAGGAGGTGCCAAAATGGGCATCTGCAACTTCCAGATTGATTCTGGACCATATCCAACTCTGGTCTCAGCTCTGATTTTAAACACATACGTTTTACCAGGAACCAAATCTCGTATCACACCCTGAAATAAAAATAAAATTCTAAGAACAAATATTTTTAATATATTTTTCTCCAAACTAAAAATGTTAAAATCATCTGGAGCAGAAAGATTTATGCATTAAAAACTTTCTTCATCATCGTAAAAGACAAATTTATATTTGAACTATATCAGATGGTTCGATACACATTAGTCTAGTAAATATAGCATTCTAGGTCCTCCCTCCATACAGATTTAAATTTGATCGGGCATAAAAATCAACGTACTCGACATAATTTTGGATTTTCGACATAAATCTAGATCAGATTGTTTTATGCATACTAGTGCATAACATTCTAGATACTCCCCCCTTAAAGATAAAGCACAAAAATTAACGTACTCAACATAAATCTGGATATCAAATGATACTTATACACTCTAGGTGCATAAATATAGCATGCTAGATCCTCCCCCCATAAAGGGGAATCATAATTGAACCCAAAAATCAATACTCCACATAATTGTAGATATCAGATGGTTCTATACACACTAATACAAAAACATAGCATTTTAGAATTTATGAAAATTTAAATTCAATCGAGCATAAAAATCAATTTACTGGACATAAATCTGGACATCAGATGGCTCTATACACATTAGTGTAAAAATATAGTATTCTAGATCCTCCCCCCACAAAATTTAAATTTCATTGAGCATAAAAATCAACGTACTCGACATAATTTTGGATATCGGATGGTTCAATATAAACTAGTGCAAAAATATAGCATTTTAGATCCTCCCCCCACAAAAATTTTAAATTTACCTAGCACAAAAATTAACGGGCTCGACATAATTTTGGATATCGGATGGTTCTATACATACTAGTGCGAAAATATAGCATTCTAGATCCTCCCCCAACAAAAGTTTAAATTTGGTTGAGCATAAAAATCAACGTACTCGACATATTTTGGATATCGGATGGTTCTGTACACATCAGTGCAAAAATATAGCATTCTATATTTTCCCCCATAAAAATTTAAATTTGATCGAGCACAAAAATCAATGTACTGGACATAAATCTGGACATCAGATGGCTCTATACACAACTAGTGTGTAAATATAGCATTCTAGATCCTCCCCCCATTAAAAATTAAATTTGATCGAGCACAAAATCAACGATTTTGACATAAATCTGACGATTATATACACACTAGAACATTCTAGATCCTCCCCCTAATAAAGTAATTTCAAACAGCTGCTTACATGTTGACAAGAGGACGTTCATTAATCACGAGAGGTTTTTTAGGGGGAGGGGGGGGGTGTGTTGACAAAAAATCACGAAATGTCACGTGGAGGAGGGAGGGGGGTATAGTAAGATATCACGTGTATTTATTTTTTAACTGATTTCTTCAAAAAAATCGAACATTTTCAAAGAAAAATTCAAAAAATTTACAGCTTTATCACGTAACTAAAAGTACACGCGATGTTTGGTTGACAAGGGGGCGTCCATTAATCACGAAAGGTTTTTTAGAGGGAGGGGAGGTTTGACAAAAAATCACGAAATGTCACGTGGGGGAAGGAGGGGGGTATAGTAAGATATCACGTGTATTTTTTAACTGATTTCTTCAAAAAAATCGAACATTTTCAAAGAAAAATTCAAAAATATTTACAGTTTGATCACGTAACTAAAAATACACGCGATGTTTGGTAGACAAGGGGACGTCCATTAATCACGTGAGGTTTTTAGGGGGAGGGGGGTTTGACAATAAATCCCGAAACATCACGTGGGGGAGGGAGGAGTATAGTAAGATATCAAGTGTATTTATTTTTTAACTGATTTCTTTAAAAAATAGAACATTTGCAAAGAAAAATTCAAAAAAATTACAGTTTTATCACGTAACTAAAAATACACGTGGTTAATGGACGCCTCCTCAAGGAACAAGAGAAGTGCGGAGGTTTCGGTCGGTGTTATTATTGTTGAGTCCGACATACCCATACAAAAGACTTAAGTCTGGTACGCATATAAGCATTTCCTTCCCTATACAAAAATAAAACACAAGTGTATTATCTCCTTTATCCCTTACCTGTGTCTCCTGCGGATCGAAATCAGTCCTATTAACAGCATTTCCATCAGGATGGTTCTCCTCTCCGTAAGTTATGGTGAATCTCTTCAGCACACCGTTCTTGTCCTGCTCCGCCAGGTACCATTCGAAGGCGACTTCGTTCGGCCTGATGTCGGTCGGTGCGAAACGTTCGACGCGCTCCGGAGTCGATTCTAAAGTCCGGAACGAGGCGGAGACCGGGAGACTTGAACGCAGCACCGTAGAGTGGTTGCCGGAACGGACTACTACGGTGAATGTGTAGTTCCTGGGAAAAGGAAAGATATGATATTATTTTCTAAGATATTATATTATTATCTTTTTTTTATTATTATTATTTTATTGGCTTTATATTATATATTATTATCTTATTATTTCTAATATTGTTATTTTGTTATATTTATTATTATTTGTCACTTATTGGTTTTTATTCTACTTTATTGTTTTGCTAGTATTATTTTTGTTAGAATACAAAATTATATCGAATACGGACCTGGTGAAGAAAGAAAGAAGTTTTAATAAAATTATCCTATTTCGACTGCCTACCCGAAGGAATAATCTTCTATATATATAAAAATAAGTCGGGTTTTCCTTCCCGACGAAATAACTCCAGAACGCACGAACCGATTTCGACAATTTTGCATTCGTTGGAAAGGCTCCGCAAGGTTTATAGCTAAGAAAATTAGTGGTGCATGGCATCGTGCCCTAATGCAAATTGCCGGAACTTCACGCACCGTAATTAATAATTCGAGTAATGACATTAGTGAGAATTATCAGAATTATGCTTGGTCAAGTCAACGAGCAATTCTTGCCGCCAAGAATAATGATATACACGCACTGCTCAAATATTATGTACATTTTCTAAATAATAAATATAATAATAAATATAATCACTGAATTTCACCATTTAATCAAAAATTGTTGGCGATTTGGTGACATACCAATGATTCCGACTGGTCTTCCGTTTGACTTCAAACGATTGCAATTTCCCGTTCGCCTTGCGTTCGCAATAACAAGTCGCAAGGCCAAACGCTTTAGTGTTTGCGGGATAAATTTCAAATAGATTATTTAGAAAATCATTGTTAACGTCAGACCAAAAAAAACAAAAATATGGTTTACCAAAGAGCACTTCAATGAAACGGATAATTTGCGGATTCACATTCATTTACTTATAATTAGAGAAGTTCAACTAAAAAACACTTCATTTTTGTAATCGAAATAAATTTATTACTGTTTGTGCAATAAAATCAAATTTTTCCTTTCCAAATATAAACAAACAAAAAATTTCTTCATCTTTCTCACGAAACCATCTGGTGGCGAAACGGAGTTCGTCGGGTTTGCTAGTAAGATATAATAAAGATAAAATTATAATTAGTTATTAATTTATTAATAATTAGTAATTAAATAATTAATTTTAGATATAATTAAAATTATTTTGTAAGAAACATATTTTCATGCTTTATTTCTTTTCTGATACTGTCCTTCAATATTTGAGATCATTTTCAAGATTTGAAATTTAAAGATTTTACGCCACAGATGTTTAAAGGATTTTATTTTAATTTCAGAGTGATTTTACCATCAGAAGAATCACAGTTCTCCTTCGAGAAGTGAATAATGTGAAAAAAAACAAAAATTGTAAAAATGCAAATAAACAATGAAACTAAACAAAACAAATATTAAATAAATATCAATGATAATATTAATGATTATAATGACATATATTTTCATGAGTTGTATAATAGAGTTGGAATATAAAAGTTTATATTTGAAGTAAAGTAAAAAAATGTCCTAAATCCATCGAAATACTAAAGTTCGATTTTCAACTAAGAATTATTTAAAATTTCAATATCCAAATGTATAAAACAGTTTTTACTAAATTTTACAAAATTATCTAGTTTTTACAAATGTAAACAAATTAGAAAGTCCCAAAAGAAAATTAGAAGTTATTTGAAGAAAACTGAAAAAACATCCTAAATCCACATTTGCTAATGATCAAACTAAAGTCCGCATTTCAACTACGAATTATTAAAATTTCAATATTCAGTGTAATAAAACAGTTTTTACTAGATTTTAGTAATTTTTATCTAGTTTTTACTAATGTAAACATTTATAATATCCGGGAAGAAAGTAAAAGTTATTTGAAGTAAAGTGAAAAAATGTCCTCAATTCACGTATTACACATTATCAAAATACCAAAGTCTGCGTTTCAACTACGAATTATTCAAAATTTCAATATCCAGTGTATAAAACAGTTATTACTAGATTTTTGTAAATTTTATCTAGTTTTTACTGATGTATATAACACAAACTGACCTGGGACAAATTTCTAAGTATTCCAAAAAATGTAAAAAAATGTCCAATTGCTAAATATAATGTTAGAAATAATGTTCCAACAAGTTTTAATCAAAATTTCATTATGTAAGTGTATATAACAGTTGTCACTACTTTTAGTGAATTTTATCTAGTTTTTACTAATGTTACAAATTATAATGTCCGAAAAGAAAATTAAAAGTTATTTGAAGAAAACTAAAAAATATCCTAAATCCACATACATAATGAATTGCACATTATCAAAATACTAAAGTACGCGTTTCAACTACGATTTATTCAAAATTTTGAATATCCAAGTATATAACAGCCTTCACGAAATTTTAGTAATTTTATCTAGTTTTTACTAATATATACAAATTATAAGGTCCAAAAAGAAAATTTCAAGTCGTTTCAAAAAATGTAAAAAAATGTCCTAATTTCACATATTAATTTAAACAAAAACTACTTTAAAATTGCTCACCTGTAAGGTTTCAAATTATCAATAGTAATATTCTCCTTTTCAGTAATCGTCTGCAACAAAGACGAATCAGCATTCAAATACTGCACTTCAAAACATCGTACTCCCTTTGGGAGCATCCCATTGCAGAGTGATCTCATGTGCGATATTTTTGGTCGCGTTTATACCAGTAATTGGCTCAGGATCTAACCAACAAAAAAACTTAGTCACAAACCAGTATCATAATAATCTATTATTATCATTATTATTATT